AATTTTGTCCGACTTTGTGGCTTACTATTTTTTAACGGCACTACGTGTTTTCTCATTATTTTCGATGGATCTATAGGTGGTAAGAATGCCGTAGAAAATCATTTGATAAAAAAGCACCCGGTTATTTTGTGCTTTTTAATTTTCACCTGCACTCAGTTGGACAGCTTACAAGTCGCGGCATAGTGCTAAAAATTATTGTTTTATGTCCTTCTATCGTCCAATATAGGTTTCCTGCGGGATCATATGACCCATCGATTTTTTAGGTCGGGCTTGTAGTCTATTGGTGCTTAGTGCCGTGTCGATAGGTTACTGGATTTGTGTATGATGAGAAACTTAGTTCAGTTCTTGCACAAGCACTTCCAAATGTATAAAATAACAGTATATTCTCAAATAAAGTTTATATTACAGAGATTTTACAAACAGTAAACTCAAAATAAAACGCTAATGTATAACGGATAACAAAGCAAGACTAAAACAATTTCTATTTGCTAACTTTTAAGAGATACTATGTAGGCTAATTCTTTACGTGAACTCTATTAGTTGAAGTAGTAGACTAATTTTTAAACGCAAACTCTTAGCTGAAGTGGTAGACTGCCGGCAGGGAAGAATACAGTTTTTTCCGCCAGGCCCAATTCACTTTCCCTCAGTAAACTGCCTATTTTGGGATGCGACGTACTGTCGACTATGATTCCACGAAATGGATGAATATCAGTTACTATCGATCGTGAACCTTGCGAATTTAGAATAATATAATTTTTTTATTTAAACAGATATCAGCTACGGTTACCTGTGAATTCTACAAACGGCACGCGCGTTCTATTTTTGAAGCGTGATCTCAACTATAGTCAGCAAGAAAGTGAGTACTGTAGGATTGCAAAAGTTTACTTATCACTTACTTTCTCACGATCATGAACGACAATGGATCCTTGCTATTCTATTTGCAATATGATCAACGAATGCCAATATCGATGGTCGTTCGTGAAAGTGGCTATAAAATAAAATTAAGAATACAAATATTACAAAGTACCAATATAGCTAAAGTAATAATTAGTAAATTACTTATAAGTGAGACATTCGCACAATTGACGTAGCAAAGTTCGAAATTAGTCATCACTGAGACGTGACATAAGGTAAAAGGCATTTACATTACTTGTAATTATTTGGGCTTTGAAGGAAATTATGCAGTAGAGATAGCAATCATGGAAATCGAAAATCCACTTGTAATGTTACATTGGTTAGTAACGGCGTGTATAAATGATGATTTAATTGAGTCTGAATTCGGTGTAGCTTCAAGATTGAGTAAAACCGCTAAAGGATCATCGAGTTTAGTTCTGCAATCTGCAACATTGCCATATGTTCCTCTTAGTCAATGTAAATCTTCAAAAAATTATGTTGAATCTGAAAATCTTATAATGATGGACAAATTTTGTGCTGGTTATACGAATGATTGGTAACAAATCAAAATTGATATGAAAAAATTAACATATTTAAAAATTATACATACCAATAATTATCTGAATTTTAGGAACATCTGTCTGCGATGGTGACAGTGGAGAAGAGTTGGTATATCGAACTGGAAATTTACGGGTTTTAAGAGGAATCGTTAGTCTTTCTCTTGGTAAAATATTAAGGGCTGGTACAACTATTTGTGACAATAATTCTTATTCTCTTTACACAAATGTATCATCTCATATAAACTGGATCTAAGATATAATTTCTCGATTGCAAACATTTAAATCACTTCCCTCGTGTCACAATTCAACTATGAAAAATTCGAATTCCACTAGACCAGCCCAATTATTCTACTTTCGACAAGTATTACAATATCAACACCATCGATTCTAAATACAACTTTTTGTAAGACCCCTTCTGATCCTGCGAATAGTTATCATTCTTTGCAGAAGTCGTATTGCCAAACATAAAAGAACTATGCTGTTGAAGGTATAAAATTAGTTAGTTGTTTTCACTTGATTTACTTCTGTAATTATGGCTACGAATTAAACGGTACCAGTAATGTACTAATTAATTTACAAAGAGAATGTGGTCAAATATTTCTGTTTGTATTTTGTCTTCATATGTATTGATTACTTAAATAAAATTTTAAAAGTACATTTTAATTTGTTTTTATAAAAATGCTGAGGATGTATTGGATTGTATTGTAAATTTTTATAAAGGACGCATTTATCTAAATACTATTAATTTACTTAAAGCTATACTATAGTTTATTATGTTTTCACCTTCAATTTGAAAACGATAAAGAAAGCGGTACCTAGCTGCATTCTCGTTCTTATATTTTGAGAATGTATTTTATAACACGGATATAAGTTGGTCGTTTTTAAGTTGCGTAGGATGAATAAAACTTAAATGCTTTAGAATCATGTTAAAAGCCAAGGATTTCCACATATTTAATACAAAACGAACTTGTTAGTCATTTGTTAATTCAAGTTTATCGATTACGTATTCAAGGTAATTTTGCCATTTAAGAATTTAAAAACTATAAGAAAACCTCATGATACTAATTGATCTATTATAATAATTCCATTAAATATATTTCAAAACCGAATAAAGGGTTATTTTGATTTTATTGTATGAAAAGTTATGATCTGTTGGAAGTACTTAGAGTTTTTCTTTTCTTTTTACTTTCACCTATTTATTTCACTCACTTAGGTTTATGTATTTCACAAAGTTATTTGCCAAGTAATTCTCTTTGTTTGATTATTGTAATATTTACACGTGTTAAGTGTTTGTTGTGTTTTCTTGTATGAGAGAGAGATGGGAATGAAAGGAAAAGAAGCAAAGTTTTCACGTACTTCTACTGTTCATCCCCCACTAATAAATTTTCTTAACAAATTGCTTACAGCGCTCAAGAATCCTAAATATTCAACACAGAATGCAGCATAGATATTATTGCTATTATTGAATAGGTTCATAGCTGTTTGTTTGCAAAATAGAAACTTTATTTACAATAGAAGGAACAAAAACGTTTAATTAAAAGTATTGCCCATCACTAGAGACCACTTTCTCCCATCTTTCTGGCAGCATATGAATTCCGCGTTGGAAAAACGACATGTCTTTTAAAGCTATCCAAGAATCGACCAATTTTTTAGCTTCTTTGTAAGAATGAAAACGCTAGTCAGCTAAGCCATGTGCAATCGAACGGAATAGGTGGAATTCGGAAGGGGCTATATCAGGTGAATACAGCGGGTGGGGTAGAACTTCCCATCGAAGCGTTTCCAGGTAGGTTTTCACTGGTTTTGCAACATGCGTTCGACTCAAACGCATCAATTGAAGTCGATAGCGATCCCCCGTGATAGTCTCATTCGGTTGGAGCAGCTCATAATAAATTACACCCTGCTGATCCCACCAAATACAGAGAAGAAGCTTCGAACCATGGATATTTGGTTTTGCGGACGATTTTGATGCATGGCCAGGCTTACCCGATGATTTTCTACGCTTTGGATTATCATAGTGTATTCATTTTTCATCGCCAGTCACGATACGGTGCAAAAAACTTTTTCTTTTCTGCCGTTGAAGCAGTAGTTCACACATGACAAAACGCCGTACGATATCTCTTGGCTTCAATTCATATGGCACCCAATGTCCTTGCTTCTGGATCATTCCTAACATTTTTAAACGTTTTGAAACAGTTGACTCATCAACTTGTAATGTTTTTCTCCAAGTTCTGCTAGCGTCTGAGATCGGTCTTCATCGAGTAATTCCTCCAATTCTCTGTCTTGAAATTTTTTTGGTGCGCCAGAACGTTTTTTATCTTCAAGTTCTAAATCATTATTTTTGAAGCGTCGAAACCAATCTCTGCATGTCGTATCCGACAGAGCATTGTCACCATAAGTCTCAACAAGAGTTCTATGTGCTTCAGCTGCCGATTTTTTTTGAATAAAGTAGTGCAATAAAATTCCCCGCATATACACTTTAATTGGCACAAAAGTAAACATTTTCAAAACTAATAAAAAATTACTTTGTTTACACTAAAGTGAACTATTATACACTGAAATGTCAGGTTAGATACAGTACTTACTTGCAAGTGCGTTACCATTCGAAATTTCAAGCACAGAGTACTGCTATTGCCATTTTTTATGAAACAGCGAGAACTTATTCAAGGTCCTTATATGTGGTTGGCAAAGTTAATAGTAAATGAGCTATCTTGTCAGTCTCTTCTAATTTAGTACCGGCAGCAAGTAGGTCGGAAACTAATTCATCGAAAATCATTAAATTCTTTGTCAAAGGTGTATAACCTTGTAATTTTAATTCAAGTTATCTCCTGCGTAATGAGAGTTGAGTAGCTAAGCTTTTATGTTCATAAATATCGTCCAAACTTTTAAGTATTTGTGCGCAGTTCTATCTGATTTAGAAAATTCAAAAAATGAATCTGAGAGATACTCAATGATTATGCTCTTCGCAGTCTTTTCTGCTTTCATCCATTAATCTGTAATTGTTTCTGGTACTTCGTTGTCAATCACTTGAAACGCGTCTAGTTCACAGATTAACGCACGAATTCTAAACTTCCAAACATTATACTGCTCACCATTAAACGGCTTTATGTTTCTTTTCAATTTTGAGTTTTCCATTTGTTTGTATTAATTTATCGCCACGCATTGAGTCCTCGATCGCGGTACGGCCCTTAGGCTATAGATTGAGAGAGGGAATGTATGCTTATCGCTAGCTGCAGACCGATGGAGGGGATACAACGTCTTTTATGACGTCATGATTTCTTTGTCTTCTAGTCGAATGTTTAAACAAGGGGTGCGGCGAAGCGATGGAGCCGCCGAAAATATGATCGTTCTTTGTTCTAGGACAAAGCGATTAGAAAAAGGTGAGAAAAAAAAAGAATAACTATTTTCACGAATATGTACGTTACTCTCGTTGACTTTAGAAATTGAGTTGTGTAAGTCTGTCCAAAGCCTGGTATGAGACTTCCTTAAATTCCAAACCCTTTGTGATAACTGGCTGGGGATTCTCGACTTCGTTGTTTTCTAATCCGTTGTACAAAGCACAATTTATTTACACACACAAAAATAAATTTTACACGCAGCACGCAGGTGGACTTTGTGCGTAACCTGGGCCAATAACCTGTATTATTATTGGGTTCTTATAAATGAAAAATAACACAAAATATAATATTAAATCAGAAAACATCTATATTTAATTGCACAAGGAATGGCACGTCTTTACCGGAGGGCTGTTTCGAATAGACTGAAAAAAAGGAACAATGGTGTACACCTATAAGGCTTACGACTCGCTCTCAATATCGGCGACATCTATGACGTCAGCCGATCTCCACAGCATGCAAGTTCATACGTGTTAAAGAAAACCATAGAGATACTACAGAAAACTCCACTCGGAAATTGGGAGGAAACGATATTCCGTTGTTTAAAAAAAACGAAGTTATTGAATGATTTTACTACATTCTTTATCAAAAACAAAAGCTGTACCCATTGGTTGACTATGGGGAGAGGATCCTTCTGCTATTGGTCGATAATATTCATAATCTCCTTCCCTCTTCAAAAGGGTGTGTGTTACTCTTTTATGATATAAATATGTGAAAGAAAGTAAGAAAGTGAGTCTTTAGTCTTCAAACCCTAGTCTATCAGTTTTTAATCTGTATCAGTCTGTATATCTGTTTGTCTGTATCGGTTCCTTAGTCCTTAGTTCTCAGTTCAATAATTATACTTTCAGTCTGTTATATTCATAGAAATATTATAGATAGAGGAGACGAACCATAGGCGGCTGTGTAAGTGGAAATGTCTCTGCATAAACAAGGTTGATGTTGTCTCTCTCTAATTCATGTGGTACCGGTGCATGCGCATTAGACTTGTCGTGCCATATGTTCATAAAAATTCTATGTACATGTTCTGGTGTAAGTCTGTCTTATCGTAAAAGCTCGTTAGATGTTCGTTAATGTTTACAAATTATAAAATTATTACAGTAGTACGAATTAAAATAGAAATAATAATTTGTGAATCAATTTGCTACTGTAATGTAAATGTGATGTAATGTGAGTGAAAAATGACTAAGTTCTGTATTTTGTGTAAAAAACAGTATGTTCCTGGTGACTACAAAAGTACTTTTCATTGGTAAGAAAAATAAAATAATTGTTAAACTTAATAATTTACTTGTTATATAAAAGTGTGAAATTTTCATGTGCAAAGTTATAATTATTTGTGTAACGAGTTTTATTAATTTAATATGTAAGGTTATGTAAATATTATCAAAACATCTTGTGTTATATATTTTGATAGCAAAAGATAATTGTATGTTGCAGTTTTCCTAAAAACAATGAACAACGACAGAAGTGGATGACTGTTCTAAACATTTTCAAATATCCAGTAAATGCTAGAGTTTGCAGCGATCATTTTGATAGTAATTCTTATCACCTAAATAAAGAAAAGTGTAACAAATAAAACATTTCTTATTCTATTCATTTTTTTATAACTTACTAATATTTACAAACTTATTGATTTACGTGATCCTTACTATTTTTACTAAGTATTCTTGAATAGAAAAACATATAAATAAAAAAGTTATTGGCAAGATTCGAACTCGTGCCGTACTAAAATCAGCTACCTTAACCTCTACTAGCAGACTAATGCGCATGCACTGCTCAGCGCAAGTTAGAGAGAGACAACTTCGACCTCTCATGTTCTATCTCTTTTTTTTTTCGCCGACAGGTTTTATGCTGGCTTGCCTCC